AAAAAAAAAAGTGGCTCTCTCTCTCTCTCTCTCTCTCTCTCTCTCTCTCTCTCTTTCACACACACACACACACACACACACACACACACACGGAGTGGGAGACAACTGGAAACAAATTTTAAAAATCTATACAGGAAATGGAAGAGATCATAAAGCAAGAGTAAAGACAGATTGTCTTGTAGAGTTTGTGCCAGGAAGCCAAAAACTAAGATTTGCTAAAATAACAAAGAATAAAGTATATGCCAACTAAAATACAAAGCAAATAATTAGTATACCAGCTGTTTAGTGAAACCAGTTAAATTCTAAAAGGGAACAATGAAAACAATACTTCTCAACCCTATTGTAATTCAATCCTTTCTCTTCATTCCTCCCTCACCAGAAATGTAATAAGCAGAATAGAAAGACATAATTTAGTCTAAGATTGATAGAAACATGGTAAAAGAATGTATTTTGTGTGTAAACATTCAGAGTTAAATGATTTGCATCCTAGAGTACTGAAGGGTTACATTATCTTCAAAAAAAGAAAGAAAGAAGGTTCAATAAAATAGTATGATGATACCTGGAAAGAATCTATTCTAGAGCATATCACAAAGAGATTGATAAACATCTTGAAAATAACTGACACTGCACCTTAAGAATAATTCAGAGAATGGCCATGAAAATGAACAAGACATAAACTAAGTCTTCTAAAGACAAGGTGTTGGGTATGTTTAGAAAAGATGACTGAAAATTGCATTATACACATATAAGAAAGTCAACGTTTTTCTTTTTTATATTGCTTAAATCTAAGCAGGTACAAATATAATGCAATTGATAACAGATGCCAAGATTTAACAATGCAATTGTTGAAATCATTCATTTTGATTAATTTCATAAAATCCTATATAACAGCACCACACACCTCACATCCCGAATTCCCATCCTGAATTCCCAAATGCATGCTTAAATAATATTTTACATATTAAAAGTGAACATGCGGTTTTTTCATTTTTCTTTTTATCTTTAGCAGTAATTTATAAATGTAACTGGTTCCACAGAAAATGTTTTGCAAAGAATGCTTGTCTTAAGGTCCCCAACTCCACACCTCACAGAAGTACTCCTAACTATATTTTCGTTGATCATACTCCAACTGAAAGTTCATATTCAAAGCAAATGTTATTGCAGCTACCCAAGATTCTAAATCACGTAGAAGCAGCACATTGATCTGAACCTGGAAACAAATGATAAGCAGGTAGTTCCCAACCTGTTTTTGGCCATGCCCGACCTAAGCATCTGTAAAATCTTGAATGCCCTTGAATACCCCCCCCCCAACATATAATTCTTACTTCACTCAAAAAGTGAACTCTACTCATGTGGAGGAAGCCTAAAAGGGCATTAACTTGGTTTAAACAAGGTTCAAATTGCCCCCATTAAAAATCAAATTGCCCCGAGTGGGGCAAGGTCCCCACTTTGGGAACCACTGTGATAACCAATGCAGATGGGTTTCCAATGTTTTTATTACTGGTTTGCTCTTGCATGCATGTGCGCACAGTGCTTCTGTGCATGCGTAGAAGCATCCGGGCAGGTAGGCACAGCCTCCCACCGCCACTACTACCAGTTTGCCAGATCTGGGCCAAACTGGCAGCAACCCACCTCTGGTAGAGGGCTACCATATCCTGAACAGTTATAGTTAGGTAGCTCAATTCCTGGGTAGTCTTTGGCAATCTTGTACAGAGTTAATTACATAGTCCAAACACAAAGTAGCAAGACTATGAGTAACTCTTGCTAATACCTAAGTTATACAAAGGCCCTTCTGACTAACTGCATCTAGGGAGCAGTGAATCCAAAAAGACCCTAAATTATGAACTAGCTCTTTAGGGGAAGCACAACCTCATCAAGCTGAAAGTTAGAATAGTCTCAGGATCAGTTAGCTTCTGGATCAGCAATCTCTCCATCTTGTTTAGAATTAGCTTCGACTTATTTGTCCCCATTCAAACCCATACACTCTCTGGATACCAAGTCAAAATATGCATTCAGTCTGGGGTAGAGATTTATAATTGCGTATAATCAACATATTGATGACATGGGATCAGATTACTTTTCCAATGGTTTTCTGTAGCTATTCAGTAAGGTAAGAGAGAGGACTAAGCCTTGGGCCACTACATATCGGAATGCCCAAAGCTGAACCTGCCCTTCCATACACACTGACTTAGGGAGGAACCGAACCTCTAAATTGTGGCTCTAATCACCAAGCTTTGCAAATTGTCCAGAAAGATACTATGTGAAGACTGTAGAACAATCCAGTGCAATAATAAGGTTGCATTCTTGTTAGGTAAGTAATAATACAGTAATAACCTTGGCTTTCATCTTTCCTCAAACCTCAGCCAATTTAAAAAAATTCTGAAACCTTTCTGTTTTGTTTTTCATTAAGTAACAGAAACCGTATTGGGAATAATGATCCATGATACTCAAAACA